CAATACTAAAAATAATTGCACACCTAGCACATTGTACTCAAATGATAGGGAAAGTGACTAAAGAGAACGTGGTAACACAGGTTCGAAAATGGGGTAATTGGGAGGAGGAACAACAGTGTTCACGCCTCGGACCGAGAATAGGGATTTTCTTCACTCTGTGGTTTCTACAATGCCAAGAGCCGCGTGTAAACCTGTGTAGCGAAGGATACATCACAAAGGACTACTGGAGGTGGAGAAACAGGTAAGTGACAAGTTTTCAAAAGGTACCATCCGTAAAAGTACCAGCCCGTATTCTTCACCAGTGCTGTTCACTAGAAAATCTGACGGTACTAACAGATTCTGTGTCGACTTTCCAGAACTGAATCGTGTAACCATAAAGGACGCCTTTCCGATGCCACTGACGGAGGAGATATTTGAACAACTCCACTAGGCCCGGGTAATGTTACTAATGGACTTGCAGTCGGCGTATTGGCCGCTAACAGTGGCAGCCACCGACAGAGAGAAAACAGCATTTTGTGTCAACAGGCAGCAATACGAATCTGTTCGGATGCCGTTCGGACTGTGCAATGCACCAACCACGTTCAGACGTCTGTTGCTACAGATGCTGGAAAACTTGGATGATGTTTTAGTGTAAGAGGACGATATTGTTGTGTTTTCGAAGACACCAAGGGAACACCTGCGTCGTCAGAATAATCAAAAGTGCAGGCTTGAAAATCAGTGCAAAGAAATGCCAAATCGCTGGGGACACAATCATCTGTTTAGGTCACATTGTTGGAGGTAAAACTGAACCATTGCCTGAAGCGATTCGAAGTTTTTATCATCCAAAATCCAAACACCAATTAAGGTCGTTTTGGGGATTGGCAGGATACGACGCAAAATTTGTACCGCACTTCGCTGAAAAGGCTGCTCCCTTGTTCCAGTTGTTGAGAAAGGACAGGAAGTTTGAGTGGACGCCAGCGTTGGAGACGGTTTTCGAAGAGCTAAAAACAACTACAGCCTCTGAGAGAAGGACAGAGAATACCAAACCCTGCTGAAACCTTCACTGTGGCCGTCGATGCCAGCGATATTGGAATTGGAGCAGTGCTGTCACAACCGTCCGGAGTAATTGCATATGTCAGCCGCCTGCTCACAGACGTCAAAAGAAAGTACTCGACCATTGAAAAGGAGTGCCTGGCGATTGCAGGAGCATTGAGGAAATGGCGAATGTGTTTCATTGCGAATACCTTCCACATCAAGATAGACCACAAACTCTTGACGTGGTTGATGACGGCGCGCGACCCAAAAGGAAGACTGGCGCGATGGACATATCGTCTTCAGGAATTAACGTTTACAATTGAACATTTTGACGGCAAAGAAAACGGGATTCCTGACTTCCTGTCGCGTCCAATCAACGATGGAGGTGTTTTACCGGAGATCATCCCAGTTTTCCAACTGATTTCGAGCGATATGGAAATTGTTATCAGAAAGAAGACGGCCTGGTGCGAACCACCTGTGACCATCTGCGGTCAAAAACGAAGCCGGAAGAAACGTCATCAGAAATAGGAGAATTATTAAAGATCTGGGATCGCTTGCATTTGAACAACGGGAGCTTGGTGGTTGCAGTGGACAAGAAACACGGACGGAGATTTAGACGACTGCCATTCATCCAAGCCGGTCTTTGCGAAGGAGTGTTGAAGCTTGCACAAGATGGAACACATGGGACGGGAACGAGTTCTCGATTCATTAAGACATCATGTGTTCTGGCCAACAATGCGTCTGGATGTAATTGAAGACATCCGTTCTTGTCCCGAGTGCCAACAGAATAAATATACAACGCCATCAACACCGCCAATGCGACCAATAGACACACGGAGGGTACTTCAAACCTGGGGACTGGATGTTTTTGGGCCTCCACCTATTAGTTCAAGCGGAAAGAAGTACATTGTTGTGATGGTGGAACTCGTGTCTCGCTGGGTGGAAGCGGTACAAACCTCAGATGAAACAGGAGAAACGGTTGCTCGGATATCTGCAGACAATGTGATCGCACGATTCGGCATACGGGAAAATGTCATTACCGATCAGGGAGCGTATTTTGAATCCAAGATTTTTCGGAAGGCCTTAAACCGCTGGGGCATCAAAAGAACAAGAAGGACCCCTATCATCCGCAAACCAACAGAAAGACCGAAAGGTTCAACAGAAAAATGAAGGAATGGCTCAATAACCATCGCGGTGATTGGGAAGAAAGGCTACCGGAAATCCTATTCAATTACAGTGCCACATCTCATTCGACAACGGAGATACAACCCTATGAAATCATATACGGTAGAGAGCCCAGAACTCCTCTGGATGCCTTTCTCGGAAGATATGGCGAACAAATTTCCACGAAGGAGTGAGACCAGCTGGAGGGAGCAGCGGTTCAGAAAACCAGGCAAACCCAGCAGTGCAACAAGGCAAGGTACGACAAGGAATACCGAGCACAAAAGTGGCAGCCGTTCGTAGAGGTTCGTACATGGACAGCTAATAAAAGTCAAGAATCAAGGCAGACCCGAAACAACCGGACCGAGGACCGGGAAGTTCAAGAAGGGGTGGATGGGGTCATTCACGGTTATGGAGAGAAAGAACGCCAGTTTTCTGATCAACCAGGGCCCTCAATGGGAGGGGTAAATGGTGGAGAATTGGAGTGGTGGTTCACCTGTGGCAACTATTGCAATGGAGGGACGAGTGTGATAAAATGTGGTAAAAGAGAGCCCGGCTAGCAAACGAATCAAGAATGGGACCCATCGAACCAGACGCGCAGACGCAACGGCTGGAAGTACTTCAAGAGACAATGTTGACTACCACCCGAAACGGACGAATCGACCATTACAGCCCGACAAACAATCCGCAGCTGGCCAGAAAGATATACACCGAATGCCAATACGTCGGAGCTGTCGATCAACGTATCTCGCGCTACGATTGGGTCAAACCAGCCGGAACGGCACGCGAAAGAAGAGGCAACGCACGTGCCAAGTGCGGACCAAGCTCAGCAGGGATTGACCAAAAGAAAGATGTATGAATCATCCTGCCGCGCGGTTAAGAATTGAATTATATAACCGAACGTGTACACCGGTTGTTTTTAAATTGGATCAACGCACGTTCTTCCAGTCAGCTCGCCTTCTCGCTGCAATATGAGGCACACAAAATGATCAAATGGAAACCGTGTCCGCAAGCTTTTTGCTTGCCCGGTATGTTTGGCAGTGAAGGACCGCTGGACAATGGGGAAGAAGACAGGGTCCCACTTTGCATGCTTGAGCGATACCTGTAGTGACAGTGTCAACCCTTTTCGCTCATGCATCTTTTCCATCTTCCGGACCTTGTTATTTTACCGGACCAAGATTACCTCGTTAGTCAGGGTACGTTGACTTTCACTTTCTGCACGCTTACTTACTTGTGTATTCCATGCTGAATATTTTGAAAATCCTTCCAAACCCATAATGATTTATGGTGAAATAACTTTATCTGTGTGTTGCTCTTATATTGACATTTCTCGATCACAAACACCATACATCATTCTTTATCTGTTAATTCGATGCCCGGCACATTTGAATTTCGCGTGGTTGGAGAACGTGAGCGACTGTTTACCTCTATCTGGACATCTTATTTGGCTCGCTTGTTTGAGTGCTTTTGGCCGTTTATTTGAGGTTTGCTTCATTGTACATTTTGTAATTATTTCGTTAATTCAGTACCGTAGAACATTACGGATCAATCGTGTTTTAATTCGGGATTCGTATCGGTTTCGGTTACGCGTCACTCAAATGCGAATTGGTTGACGTACAACCTGTACGCTTCTCTCTCTACTCTCCAGCTCAATACAATATAACCGTCGTTGAGGTTTCGTGATATCATTCGTTCCGTTTTGGTTTGTTACCTCGTCCGTTGTCAGACGTACGAATTTGTGGAGATCATTAGCCCAGAGACTAAATTGGTGAACCTGAGGTGATGTTTTTAACTGTTTTATTTATTGCGCATTTTAGTTTCGTTATTACTGTTACATTATTCCACTGCTTAATCCTTTCGATTATCGCTGGTGTTACCTAAGATTTATTTTTACGACTTTTATTGAGTTGAGACAAACCTTGTGCAATTTTTTTAAAATTTACTCATCACATGAGTACATAATGCAAAACTCAGTAAGCCAGGATCAAGCCAACGCAGAAGTCAATATGAATCAGCAGGATAGCCCCCACGTTGATAGTCTAGTGATTTCATCCCTGAAGACCCGGAGTTTTGGTTAGCTCAGGTGGAAGCACAATTCCGACTGACCAGGGTAACCAATCAAGTCACAAAATTCACACGAATCGTGAGACAAATCCCACGCTCCATGGGTCCCAGTTTAAGGGACGTAGTTTGCAATCCCCCACCCGATAGACATTATGACACATTAAAAGATGCAATAATCAGCCGTTTCAGTATGACGGAGGACAACCGTCTCAAACAGCTATTGAACGGAATCCGTCTAGGGGATAACGGGCTAAATATTCCCACGCAGCTGCTAAGCTGTATGAGGGGTCTGGCTCCCAGCTTACACGTAAGCGAAAACGTGCTACATATTTGTTGGATGCAAGGACTGCCAGAATACGTCGCGACCTTCCTTGGGGTATTCGCGAACAAGGCTACCCTAGACGAGCTCGCAGAGGCAACCGACAGCATTTGCACCCACACCCTATCGGTTCCATCAGTCACTCGCGTATCCCCAGACTCAAGGAATTATTTGTAGAAGGACACAAATGACTAAGTAAATCAGCGCTTGGAC